TTTCAAGTTCTAGTTCTACTACTTACTGGAAATGTTACTTTGGCAAAGACTTTGAGTATGTAAAATAGGGAAGACGCTTCATAGAGTGGCTGCAGGGTGGCTGGACATGGAGTGGATGTTAGCATGTTTCTTTTCTCTCCTTCCCTGTTTTTAAGCGATGAAATACACATTCTGACTCTCTCCCAGAGTAGCTGTGAAATAAGAAAGTGATAAGTGCTAACAAATACATAGTACTCTTGTTATTAACCTGTCATAAATAGATTATGCTCTGTAGGACCATGAAACCTAACACATTGAAGTGAGTTCCAATAGTCTTAATAATATTAGATGAGGTAAATTAACTAGAGAGTTTAAGACCATGCTTCAATGAATGATACTCATCTCTTTGTAGGAAATAGACAGTGCTAATTTGTAGGCATTGTGGGTGGAAGGTGGAGTATTTATTGGGAGTCAATGGTACCAATATTTTGGCTGTTGTGGTAAAGAAAGATCTGGTTACCTCTTTCCCCTTTTCTTTAGTCTCCAGTGTCTCCCTGATAGGATGAGAATTCAGAGCACTACTGTGTTAGATTGCTATCTTTTTACCCAAGGCCATGAAGACAAATTGGGCAGATTGTGTACTGCACAATAGTGTTTGGCTAGGCTGGCAAGTGGGCACTACATGAAGCTTATGCTCTGCTTGTCCCCCACAAAGGTGCACATGAGTCAGCCAGTACCTGTTTGTTACCACAGGATAAATAATAATAAGCTAAACAGAACTCCTACAGACTCGTGCTTTTTGCTAAAACACCTAGGTTTAAGACATTGATGTTGGCATAAGAAAATCTTTTCTTTACTTGAACTGACAAGATTGAGTATTTACTTTTGCATACATTTAGATATTATCTGTACTTTTTCTCTAATATTTTGCCTGTAGGTCAAATACCTTAAAGTTTAATACTTTTTTAAAAATTATTTTCTTAGTTCCTTAAAATAAAGGAAAAAAAATTCATTTAATTTGAAAATTGCCTTTTTCTACTAAAGGTTCAGTTGCGGATATGGTTAAGAACAAGCAACACCCTTGGACTAGAAAAATTACTCCCAATGGGTTGTTTCTTGCTGGTAGTTTTCTGTGATCTTGACAGAGAAGAGATAGAAGTTTGCTGTATATTGGCACTGTCTATACCTGCTTTCTCACACCTCACTTGGCAGATCACTTTTGGGTATAAAGTTGGGACCAATTTTGGATGCTCCCACTACCATTCTTTTGCCCACAGAATTTCACTAGAAATATTTGTCTTGTAGGGGATGTTTGTGGCACAAATGAAGAATAAAATAGCGTGATTTTAGTATTTTAGTCAGCACTGAAATGGTCTTGACTCTCTTTAAAGCCAGAAATGAACAGGCAGGCATACTTTTTACTTGAACGAATGATGATGCCATTGAATTGCCTCTTGAATTTTTAGCACGAATTTTTAAATATACCAAAATAGAAATACATATAGTAGGATTTTAATTACTTTATCAGCGTTGTTTTAATTAAGCACCCCCTTCATTCTCATATTTCTACAGAAAGCATTTGGTGATCTTTCAAAAAGGTTTGAAATAAAACACCGCCTTCAGTGTAAAAATTTTACATGGTATCTGAACAATATTTATCCTGAGGTGTATGTACCAGACCTTAATCCTGTTATATCTGGATATGTGAGTATTTTCCTGTTCCTTTTCACTTAATATACTTCTTGCCACCAACCTTTATGTGGTTCCAGGAAAATTGCTGAAATACTTTCTGGTTTATTGCTCTTGAGATTTTTACATTATAATCAGTAACATTACTTTCTAAATTATTTTTACAAATATATAAACCCCACAGATTTAAAAACTTTTCATAACTTAAAAATTTTCCTTTAGATTAAAAGCGTTGGTCAGCCTCTATGTCTGGATGTTGGAGAAAACAATCAAGGAGGCAAACCGTTAATTATGTATACATGTCACGGACTTGGGGGAAACCAGGTGAGCACTGCATTAAAAATCTTTCACTTACAAAGCATTTACAAGCACAAGTAACATGTTGCCTATTTTTCGGAAGTCCCAAAGCGGCTTTGTACTTGGGTAAGCTGGTGTGTGCAATGCTTTTAGACTGAGTTTGGCAATTGATATTGATAAGTATTTTATTTTGGTTTTTACTCTGACTCTGAAAACAATTTGAAGTAGCTTACCCATTTAAAAAAAAAAAAAAGGAGGCTGGGTACAGTGACTCACACCTGTCATCCCAGCACTTTGGGAGGCCAGCGTAGATGGATCACTTGAGGCCAGGTGCTGGAGACCAGCCTGGCCAATATGGTGAAACTTCATCTCTACTAAAAATACAAAAAGTAGCCAAGCATGGCGGTACATGCCTGTGTTCCCAGCTACTCGGGAGTCCGAGGCTGGAGAATTGCTTGAACCCGGGATACAGAGGTTGCAGTGAACCAAGATCATGCCACTGCACTCCAGTCTGGGCAACAGAGTGAGACTGTCTCAAAAACAAATAATAATAAATAAAGGAAAATGGGAAAATAATAAAATAGAATAATGCGATTTGAAATTTTTTAAAAAAGAAACTTCTATATAGATCTTTGATGCTTTGACTTTTGCATGACTATTGGTGTGGTGAGCTTGCAAGTTTGCACATAAAGGCCATATATAACTGGATTTAATCACAAATTACATCAAGTGTTAATAACAAAATAGGCATTGTAAATTAACTTTGTGGGCCACAATATTATTTCAATATGTTCCTCCTTCTCTCTCAGAAGAGGATTCTCCTTGATTAGTGACATTTCTGCTTGTTACTACCTTTTGACTATTTTATTGATCAGATTCAAATATCAAATATTACTATTTAGTTGGCTATGGGTTGAGAACATGTTAAATACAAACTTTCCGTTTTCTTAAGCTTCCTTTTCTTGCCTTTTGCAAATCAACTCCTGGAAAGATTAGACTGTATTTCTGTCATTTTGATCATTCAACAAATTCACTGAGTGATCCCTATATGCTGAATACTATGATCGATTCGAACTATTTAGTTTCTAACTCCTTTAGGAAATCTGTAATTGAGCATTTCCTGAGGGTAATGCACTTCAGAGAGTTCTGGGTTTATAGAAAAGGTATCTGAAAGAGACTGGGTGCTCACCCATTTTCCTGAGAAAGATGACATTTGAAAACATTTTTTAAAAAAGTAGGTGGGAGGTAGTGAGGTGGCTGTTGGGAATGGGAACAGAATAAGAAGAGTGTGAAGGAAAGCGAACTGAGGAGAAGAGCCTGGAGTATCTCTTCTGGGCATTGCAAGTATTTTGGAGTAGAGTCCAAGATGTGTATGAAGGATTTTTGCAATAATTAATACCCATGATGTCCTATTTTAATGGGACAAAACTTTGAGATGTCCATTTTAGGAAAAAAGGTCCTCCAGTTTATCTCCTGGTCTACCCTTTTCTGTATTTCTTCCTACCCATTAGACTCAGCTTAATCTAGTTCTAATCCTTATTTAACTAAATCAATCGATCTGCTAAGGGCAGATGATACAGATGTCCAGAAGCCAGAGCTGGTGAACTGGATCTGTAGCTGTATAATTAAGGTGTAATTCTGAAATAAGATGAAGATATATATGGACACACATAGATATACATACATCTATACCTATATCTATATACATATGTATCTGTACATGTATGTCTATGTGCATAAGTCTATATGCATCTTTTTAAAGAATTTTCTTTCCCTCAATATATTAGAAGAAAAATAGTTATATAAATAATCACATTCTTTGGAAATAACACTGATTTAGGCTTGTAAAGAGATTTTGAGCAAAGGTAAATATTTCTGTAATTGTAAAAATCTTATTTCTAAGTGTACATACTTATAAATTTATCTTAGGCTTCTTCTAGCATTACATTTATTTTATCTTAAAAGCTGAATATATATTGTACACATTGTTTTTTCATTTTTCTGTTATTGTCATAAAGATAACAGCTTTATTATAGCTCTATATCAAAAGTATGTTTATATTTTAGATAGAATATAGCCATCTTTTAGAAACTGGGGGATGGGAAAAAATTCACATATTCTTTCAACTGACTGTCACCATAGTGAAAAGATAAAGCTTCTGATCTTGTGGAGCTTATGTTCCACAGGAACAAAGAAAAACAATTTTAGAAAAATATAGCAGGTAGTGTGTCTGGGGTGGGGTGGTTATTTTAAGAGGTGAGGAAAGACCTTTTTGGAAAAGTAAACTTAGAGTGGAGGCCTGAATATGTTGAGACAGTGTTCCAGGAGAAGATGCTCATCTTGGAGGAAGGATTTCCAAGGGTGGAGGCCCAGAGGCAGATACATGGAGAAAGGAAAAACCAGTGTGCCTAGAGCAGAGTGGTCTAGCAAAGAAGGGTAGGAAATGAGGTCAGGGGCATTGATAAAGGACCTTATCATGTAGGGCTTAATAGGTCTTAACTCTGAGTTTGGACTTAATTCTGAGTTTGACAGAAAGGATTGAACAGTTTTGAGGAAGAGAATAAATATTGTCTGGTATATATATTAAACAGATAACTTTGGCTTTTGTTACCCTAACACAGCTGTTTATTTCATTTTGGTTTATATCCTTGACATTTTATTTTTAATCAAGCATTGCACTGAAACTGTTTTGCAGATTTTAGTTCCCTGAGTGCTAAAATTTTGATATATCATGTAACTTGTTCATTTTTTGATGTTCCCTTCTACTTTTCATCAGATAATGTTTTACAGCATAAAACTTCATTGTGACAGTATTTGTGTATGCCAAGTAAAATAAATACTTTGGTTATGTGACTAAATTGGTCAATATTACTAGAGCAATGCAGTTTGAGTCATTATATCTTGATTATATTTACTGCTTTGCCTCATCCACTTTCTCTACTAGTTGTAAGTGATGGATATCTCCAACATTCTCAGCTATCCAATTATGTCTTTTTTGTTACCACCATACTTTTAATATCTTCCAATTTTTATAATTTTTATTTCATGACTTTTTAATAATTGGTAAAATATTCGACAGCCTTTGCTATCATCTTTGAGATCTTAAGGTTTATCTTTCTTAGCCAAGTATAGATAGAATGCTATTTTCATCATCTAAACCCATTTTCTTCCAGTGTTTCCATCTGAAGAACTACTAGTTATAAAAATGACTGATGTTTTGCTGGTAGGAGGAGATAAATTAAGCCTGAGACCAAGAGTAGGGAAACTCAAGATATGTGGCTCTGTGAATTCAGTGAATGCTGGTAGAGTGCCTGCTCTAATATACTGATATACATAAAGGGTTTAACACAGTGCCTGCCTAGCATGTAATAAGGACTTAACAAATATTAGTGCTCCTACTAATTATTTCATTATTGAAAATCAGTTATGTTAACTTATTTTGTCTTTAGAATGCCAACATTATGAAATATTGGATTTGTAATGGGTGTTATGACTTGATAAATTGCCTGACTTCAGTCTATGGGGAAGCCAGCTCTACACACGCAATTCTAATAGAGTACTAGAAAAGTTATATCTGATATACTATGGGAAGCTTGAAAAGGGTGTAATTATTTTGCAGCTGGGCAAATTCAGAAAAAGCCAAAGAAGGAAGGTAATATTTGAACTGGCTCTTGAAGGATTAAAAAGGAGTTAGGCAGAAAAGGGTCAAAAGGATCTTCCAGGCAGAGGACAGACTGTAAAGCAAAGTCTTAGAGTTATAGATACATATGTTCTGATTGGTAGAATTGTGTGAAAGAAGCATCATATATAACTGGGGCAATGGTTGATGCAAGATCAAAAATGAAAGATTTCATGTACCAATTAAGGAGTGTGGACTTTATCTTAGCAACAGTAGTGATTCACTTAAGTGAGGGCAGTCGGAGATCAAACCAATGCTATAAAATACTGTCTGGCAGCAGATTGGATTGCTGGATGTTAGGAACAGAAATTGGAGGTAGCTGTAGGTGTTTCAGTAAAAATTCTGAGAGTCAGAGTAACAGAAGTGAGTACATGGAAGTAAAAATGGATGGGATGTTAACATCTGAGAGGAATAGTACAGCTAAGGGATGAATTACTTGAATATGTTGAGAAAGAGAAGCATCAATATTAACAATAGCTAAAATGTATGAGAACTCTTCATGTGCCAGTCATTGTTCTAAGCGTATTACACATATTAACCCACTTATCTTCTTAATCCTGTGGGTTAGAAACTATTAAAGGACCCATCTTCAATTGAGAAAACAGGCATGATGAACAACCCGAAGTCCCTAGTTTAGTGAAAACACCTTTAATTGAGATGAAGAAGAGAGATGGAACACTTGTGGGAGAGAGGCAATTAATGTACTCATTAGAACTCTTCATTCCATTTTCTGAGGAATGTCTGGGGCAGCATCCCCAGACTTGATAACTTCCAAATTTCAGTATGGAGAGGAAGACAATACCTTCTTAATGAAGTAACCAACTGTTGATGAAGAAAGGCTATTATATCGTCTATCATAAAAACTCAGCTTATGTTTCTGATAACTATTTTTATTGTATTACTTTCTTGAAATAAAAATGACTTCATTATTTAACAAGTTGCTGATGTATTCACTTATTTTGTAGCTGAGCACAGGGGGTGCTTTTGTTAATAACACTGTTCTCCTTCCATAGTACTTTGAATACTCTGCTCAACATGAAATTCGGCACAACATCCAGAAGGAATTATGTCTTCATGCTGCTCAAGGTCTTGTTCAGCTGAAGGCATGTACCTACAAAGGTCACAAGACAGTTGCCACTGGAGAGCAGATTTGGGAGATCCAGAAGGTACCTCAGTGCAATTACCACCTCTTTAACTATTTTTCTTAGCTCTAATTGCTTGTCTGGGAAAATGAGTGGAACATGGTACATTAATATTACCTATCGGAATTTTTCTCCCTTTATTAACTTTGTTGAAGCATGGTATATGCAGATCAGCACTTCTGTGAATTATTAATATTAGTTGCTCATTTTTTTCTATTTAGGGTTTCTTCTAATGCTTTTTGCAACAGCTGTATATTTTTTGTGGTAGAGAGAAGAAAATAATCATTATATCTTCTCACTTGAATTGATTAATTTTTTTCTACCCTCTTTAGCACTTTTTCATGAACCTAGAATTGAGAAAAGACGTAACTGGTCTCTTCTGTTTTTAAATATGTTTTAAGGCTTAGCTGTATCATGGCAATTCTTACCTGAACGTTGTTTTGTACAAAACTAGAAAAGCTTAACAGTTTTTATGATTTATGATGTTTTTAAGAGTTTGTCACCTATGGATATATCAAGGGAATACTTGTTTGAAAACGTGATTCAGACCTTGTTCTGTCTGCCTCTCTTCATTATGTAATACCTTGTTAATTAAACTGTAGTAGTGTAAAAGGTGGCACTTACACTAGAAGCCAGCAAGAGTTTATCAGATATGTTTGATCTTAGAAAGTTTTACTTAAGAATGGTGTCTATTAGGTTTGCTTCAGTGAAACCATAAAGTATTTTTCATATTTATCAGTTAAATATGAGTCTTAAAATTTAATGTCTGTTGTTTCCTTTTATTCTAGGATCAACTTCTATATAATCCATTCTTAAAAATGTGCCTTTCAGCAAATGGAGAGCATCCAAATTTAGTGTCATGCAACCCGTCAGATTCACTCCAAAAATGGATATTTAGCCAAAATGATTAAGTGTTCCTTAAGATTAAGGAGTTGAAAAAGGAGATATTCTTTCTCATAAAACTGTGACTAGGCATACACTGTAGTTTTGAAAATTATGCAAAAGCAGCTAATTGTAACTTATTCCAAGTGCATTTTTCTTATTTATATCTTAAAATATCTATGTAGCACTACTACAGAAATTCTGCAAGTTTCTGTTTCAAAGCACAATAACTAGTAATACCAAAGACTATTTCAAAATGTCCAGATGTAGAGGAAGAGATGTTTACAGTATGATGAAAATATTTTTCCAAGTAAAGTGGTGTTTGTGTGTTTTGTACACTTAGGGATATGTATAACTACATTCACACACTCACAATTTAAAATATTTCCCCTAGATGTTTTGGGGGGGATAGAAAGAAAGATTTGTTACTGTATTTTTTTAACTACATAGAAGTGGATAAATAAAGGTCAACTTTGGCCTCTATGTATAAACCAAGAAGTTTTTACAGATCTAGAATTTATTATTTTAAAATGCAGGTGAACTTTTTTTGCCTTTGGTTTACTTGTCTGTCAAATGTTTCCTTAAACATGAAACTGAATAAGGAGAGGAATATTTTTAACACTTAAATTTCTTGGCAAATTTTAAAATATTTTTTAGTCTGCAGCTCACTCCACTTGAAGCACTTAAGTCTTCCTTAAATGACTTTTCTTCAGTAACTATACTGTGTGTTTTCCCAAAGCACTTTTTAAAAAAAAATTTATAAAGTACTATCTGTTGAAAACGTGTCATTTTCCTTTCTGCTAGTATTTCTTTTCTTACCAAAATCCACTAATCTTGAATGTTTGTGACAAATGCAGAATACTTGACTCATTTAAAGCTAAATTTTATTACTGAATCAATTTTAATTATAATGGATTTTTGACCTTGTAATGGATTCTTTTCATCAAATAAAGTCTTATTTTTATGTGGAAAACACAATAAAAAATCCTCAACACTATTGTAATCATTTGATTAAGTTTTTTCCTCTTATGGGCAGAATCTATAATCAATAATAGGTAGGGGAATATAGATTTTTGTATGCTGAATTCCTAAGAACGTACTGTTTGTAAAGCCATTCGATATTTCTTAAGGTACAAAAAATGAGGAATAGTAAATTTTCTGTGTTCAATATTTAGAAAATTTTGTATTTCTGATGACTTCCCTTGAGCAACTGAGTGACTTTTTAAAAAATTTGATGCTTGCCTCGGAGATTTAACACTTTTTTTGTTGTTGTTTTTGGTCGTTTTATATTTAGATCTCCTTTATTCTTGTTCCAGAAGTAAAATATAATTGGTTTAAAATATATTTCAAAAAATATTTTAAACCTAGTAGAGCCTCAACTGTACAAAAAAGAGCATATCTTAGTTATTGGCCCCATCTTCTCATTGTTTGCTTGTAAATTTGAATTTCATTAAGAAGCCTGCATTCTCAGCTGGACATGCTGGCCCAGCCTCTAATCCCAGCACTTTGATAGGCAAAGGCAGAAGGATGATTTGAGCTCAGGAGTTCCAGACCAGCCTGGGCAACATAGCAAAATCTTGTCTCTACTAAAAAAATAAGAATTAGAAAAATGAAATTAAAAATAAAATTAGCTAGGTGTGGTGACACACATCTGTAGTTCCAGCTATACAGGAGGGTGAGGCGGAAGCATTGCTTGAGCTTCGGAGATCGAGGCTACAGTGAGCTATAATTACACCACTGCACTTCAGTCTGTGTGACTGAGCATGACTCTTTCAAAAAAAAAAAAAAAAAAAAGCCTACATTCTCTAATTGATTGATTCAACTAATGTGTATTATGTACCTAATTTTCTGTCAGAAGTTGTATTAGTCCATTTTCATGCTGCTGATAAAGACATACCCAAAACTGGGTAATTTATTAAGAAAAAGAGGTTTGTTGAACTCACAGGTACACACGGCTGGGGAGGTCTCACGATCATGGCAGAAGGTGAAAGGCATGTCTTGCATGGTGGCCCACAATACAGAATGAGAACCAAGGGAAAGGGGTTTTCCCTTATGAAACAATCAGGTCTCATGGGACTTATTCACTACTGCAACAACAGTATGGGGAAACCACTTCCATTATTCAGTTGTTTACTACTGGGTCCCTCTCACATGTGGGAATTATGAGAACTACAATTTAACATGAGACTTGGGTGGGGACATAGCCAAACCATATCAGAAGTTTTGGTAGGCAGAGTAAGACTTGTTATTGCCTTTGAGCTATGTCTCATGGGTCAGAAAGAAAAATAATTTTAAAGTAGATTGTAAGTACCAGTAGACATGAATATCCATGAGCATATATTGCTCTTAGGTCTTATTATATCTCTAAAAACAAAATTATTTTTCAAATATGTTTTATACATGAACTTAGGTAAAGCATGATTTTTAAAAAACCAAAGTGTATGTATCAGTCATATATTGTCATATCATGATCCAAATGAAATCTTCTTAGAGTAGGTTGATACTATTATGGGAAAGTCCTTCTTACCTGATTTTGGAGTCTCAGGCTATTGCTCAAGTGTCATACAAATCATGTTATTAAGGACTGGACCATTAGGGTGGGTAGTGCCTTTTAAAAGTCTGAGTTTTGGAACAATGATAACAGGGAGTTATTTATGGAGCCTGGCTGCCATCCACCTGAGACTTAACTGCACTCAAGTGTGAAATTGTGAAATTCTTGCTCAATTTGAAGCTGCCATGGCAAATGGCCTGGTTGCTACAGAAGACCTGGCATGCTGCCTTCATTCTAGAGGACCAAGTCCTAAGAACTCTAGGTTGGTAAGCTGCACTGCCAAATCCACTAGGGTTAACCTGATGGGCAAGCTCACTGAAATCTGAGAGGGGATCGCACAGTGAACCGTGGAGAAATAAGCAACACTAAAATTGCCCATTACTATAACCAATTATGATGGACTTTTAAGCCCCTGTATTAGCAGAGACTGGTCCTGGACAATTTAAATAAGTACTTTATAAGCCATCAAAATATTAAGTGCAAAAAGGTAGAGAGTTACTATTGCTGAAGAAGACAAGTCTGACTTTATAGGAAAGACTAGAAAAACAATCATTTTTAAAATGCTGTTATATGTAGATGAGAATTGTAAAAGATAGGCAAAACAAAAACCCAGGAAGATTCTGTAATTATATTGCTTCACAATTTAAAGACAGAAGAAATAATGTCTTTAGACAATGCATTTTTAGTATGGTTTGTGCAGGAAAGATGTTTGCAGAACTTCCAGAAACCAATTCATACTCTGTAAAAGGCCTTGGCCCTATAGTACAATATCTGTGAAGGAATTAATACATAGATACAAATGTAGTGGCATATGAGTGTTTGTAGTGTGTATGTTTTAAATTAAGATATTTGACATGCTTTTATGAATTTATATTTTAATTACCTTTTTCAAATTATCAACCCACCCAATCTTTCCTTTTCCAGTCCTGTAGTCCTACCTTTTCCACATCATCAGCCCAACTATATTGCAAAGGGAATTCATCTGACACACGTAGTCCCTCTTGCTCTCTAGTCTTCCACAATATCTAGGAAAATTTTGTGTCTGTTTTAGGAATTGTGTTAGGCACCAGGCACTAATAACATACAAAATAGTCCCCATCTGAAGGCAGGGAAAGTTATGGTTTGGTGATACGGTCATCAATATGGTCCCATAATGATGTTTTGAAGAGAAATAGGTCCATGATGGAGTCAACTTCTGGTGAGTCCACTGACAGGAGCTAGAGGAGAAAACAGGCACCCCATATTTTAGAGGTGAATAATTAAGAAGTAATGCTTCTTAAACCTTATTGTGCACACCTGGGGATCTCATTAAAATGCAGATTCTGATTAATTAAGCCTGGGGTAGAGCTTGTAATTTTGTGTTTCTGACAAACTTTCAGGTGATACCAAAGCAGCTGGCCCTGGTATCATACTTTGAATAAAAAGGGCTACCCAGTGAACTAGTGTCCAGGGTTCTTTGAGACTACCGTGGTGACTTCGACCATGCTTGACATCCATAATTACTTTGATTACCACCAGAATTCAATGCCTCTTTATCATCCATTATGATCATTATGCTTCCCGAGCATATATATATCTTCTTCCAATATGTCTTCTGCCGCAAACAACTTCCAAGTTGCTAAATTCAAAACCCCTTTTCCTGCTGCTGTTTACGCAAGCACTGCAGCAGTTGAAACAGTTGATTGCACTATCACTTTTGAAATTGGTAACACACTCTCCTTTCTGGGCTTCTATGGCACCACAAGCTTCTATCTCCAGTCCCACAGCTCTGCTTCAAACCATCATTACATCTCACGTGGACTAAAATAATCTCTTAGCTAATTGCTCTATTTTTTGGTCATTTCTCTAGTTGATTTTTTCACAGCAACTTAACATTTTAAATAAAACAGCAACATAGCTCCTCTGCTTTATAATCTTCCAAAGGCTCTCAAATTGTTCTTAGGGTAAAATTCTTGCTTCTGGTTACAGCCTATGAGTTCCTATATGACCCACTACTTGCCAATTTCTCCTGCATCATCTAGGACCACCTTTTCTGTGCTGAGTGTGTTTCACACAGAGTAGTTGCCTTCTATTTGGCTCATGTATCAAACTGATTCTTGCTTTAGAGCCTCTGTTTTCTTTGTCTGGATGCTCCTTGTAACAGTATCTTTTACATGTTTCTGTTCTCAGATCAAATAACAAATTCTGGGAAGAGACCATCTTTTATGAAGTAACCCAATCACTACTGAATCACATGTTTATTTCCTTTGTTACATTTACTACTACCTGAAATTTTATGTGTGAACTTATCTTTTGTTTCCATAAAATGTCATCTTCACAAAAGAAAGGTGGCACATATACACCATGGAATACTATGTAGCCATAAAAAATGATGAGTTCATGTCCTTTGCAGGGACATGGATGAAACTGGAAACCATCATTCTCAGCAAACTGACACAAGAACAGAAAACCAAACACCACATGTTCTTACTCATAAGTAGGTGTTGAACAATGAGAACACATGGTCACAGGGAGGGGAATATCACACACTGGGACCTGGGGGTGGGGGGCAAGGGAAGGAATAGCAAGGTGTGGGGGGATTGAGGAGGGATAGCATTAGGAGAAATACCTAATGCAGATGACGGGGAGATGGATGCAGCAAACCACCACCATGGCACATGTATACCTACATAACAAACCTGCATGATCTGCATAGGTACCCCAGAACTTAAAATATAACAAATAAATTTTTTAAAAAAGAAAAAGAAAAAATAAAGTTTGACTAGAATTGAAAAAAATAAAGAAATAATGAAATTCATATGTTAAAATTTAGGTAAATTCAGTGTATCATCAACATAAAACAACTCTATTTTTCAAGGATGTTTACATTAAATACAGAATCAGTGCCAATGAGGATGGGCTATGAGTACAGGAATGAAGAATGAAGAGAAAAATATCAGCAAAAATAAGGACAAAAAAAGACAGATTTTTCTTAGACTGATGAAAAGCAACAACAAAAACTCTTGATAAGAAATGTTTTTTGAGTAGATACATTATTTCTTCAAAAGATATGTTACAGAAAACATAGGTTTATTTACAATATTCTATAGTACAAGAATAATGGAACCAAGAAAGAGAGGTACTAGTTCACATAGCACAGTGTATCTATGAAACTCATTACTTAAAGAGTTTATGTAGTTGAAAATTTTGAATAAAGTAGACTCAACAAAATTGATGACTGACAAATTCACAATCAATAAGAAAAAATAGAACAAATAGCATGTTCCCATGTTTTCAGAGCAACATAGAAACTCCCTTGGATATTACATCTGTCATACAGCATGAAAAGTTAATTATGACAGTATTAGCTTTTATTTAATATTATAATTTTATGATATTCCTTTAAAATCTCAGACATATATTGTGTAAATTATTATGGCAGAAGTCTAATTTTTTCCAGTGGATCTTTTGAAAAT